AAAAAAAAATTGAAGGCTTCTCAGGATCTCTTAGCCACAGCTGAAAAAAATATTAAAAACGGGTTAAATAATAAAAACATGTCGATTATAGAAAGCGAACAGATCCTCTTATCTGAGGAAAAGTCGAGGTGAGCAGAATATTTAACAGCATTGGAAGATACCAAATAGAAACTTAATTTTTTAATGCAGGGACCTTCATAAAAATGAAAAAAATAAGACATGTTATTAATGAACAAAATTGAAAATTCTTGTTATTAAATTCTTGTTTTAATTCTTTTTATTACATATGCTCCAAATCTTTGTTTTGCTGCTCCAAAATTGCTTTTTTTGTTGCTCCAAAGCCATGTTTAGCCACTTGCACCACTGGATATGACTTAGTTGTCAAAATTTAGCAGTTTAAGAAAACTTTTAAAAGAATAAAAATTGAATTGCAAGAGTTAGAAGAAGAAAAATAACAGCAAATAATTTTACATGTTACAAACTTAATTAATGATTTTTTTTTTGTATAAAATGCCTTAGATTTTCTTATGTATTCAAATTTAAAAATATAAAATTGGTAGGTTTTTATGCCAATCCTTAACATCTGTACTTTGACAAGATTTATTAAAATATTTAAAATTGGAAAATGTATTTAATTGTCAAAGTGATAACTTAATTTATTTTTCTTGACAAAGTTTGAATAAGTCAAAATTTATTTCAAAAGGGATAGAAATTAAATTCAAAATATACATTTTTGCAAATTCCTTATAGTAACTGCTTTTTAATTTTTAAAAAAGACTATCTTTTACACAAAGTTTTTAAATTTTCCTTAAAGTTCCTTAAAATTTTGGACTCCTTAGATACTCCTTGGATTTCTTCTTCTGATCTCTGTATGAACCCTGATGTTAAATGTTTCTCCATCTCCAAAACTCTATAATGTACACAGTGAAAATGCGAGTACAAAAATTTCCATTATACGTATTTGGCAATGTTTATGAATTATCCGTAATTTTACGGACCTACTGATAGATCTGAAATTTGCATGGATTTTAAAATTTCCTTTCCCTTTTTTATTTTATTTACATTGTACAATTTAGGCATTCGGCTTTAGAGAAACTCATCCCTGTTGTAAAATATTTCACTGTCCGAACTGTTTACAAATGGATGCCACTGTTTTTTCTCCTGTTTTGTGACTTCCTGGAAGTTGTGTTCTGCTCTTAGTAGAGTGATGTATAATTTGTTAAGTGTTGTTTTTGCCTTTGTTAATAGTTTTATCCTTTCCATAAACTTAGTCTTTAAAATAGTTATGCACAGGGGTGCAAAAAACCCACCTACCCAGTTAAACATAGGCAGCTTTTACTGGATAAAATCCACCCTAAAGTGGGTTTTGATTAGTAAGAATATAAATAAAAAGTAATCTTGTGTTAAATTAAGTTTCAAATGTGTGATGTATGCGAGTACATATAACATTTTGTATCATGATGTCGGAAGAAACTTTTAGACTTTTGCACCAATTTATTTGTATTAATTATTAATTACCTATATGTTAAGTCAATTCATAAAATTAAACTTAATTATTAATAAAATAAACTTTTTTTAAAATGAGGTATTTATCCCTTCACTCTTTTGGAAGAAGAAAAAAACCCCAATAAAACATGGAAAAACCCGGGTTGTGCAACCGTCTTGTGGGTTGATTTTTATTTGATAAGTTTATTTTTATAGTTTAAAAGTTGTCTGCAACTTAAATAGTTTGTTTTCTTTTTACAAAACTGTGTTAGCTGCCATAGAAATGAGAAAAGCCATTTCTAATGAGGGGGGATAAGATCCTACCTTGTACCTACTCCAAAGCAAAGCTGTTAATCCTACATGCCTTTTAGCAGTAAATCCTAAATAAATAAGCAAAATGTTTGATCATTTTTCGACAGGTCACTGTGAGTTAAGAAATAACCTTAGAGTCCCAATTTAAAAAAAACTATATTTTACACAAAGTTTTTGAATTTTTGATAAGTCCTTTAAATTTTGGACTCCTTGGATGCTCCTTGGATTTCTTCTTCTGATCTCTGTATGAACCCTGAATTAAGCATGTTCACCTATTCCCTATTTCTCTAATTTTATCTACCACTTAATCAAAACTAGCACAATGTAGCTCACACTAGAGCATGGTGATTGTGTATTTTCTCTTAATTTATTGTTATAATATGCACTACAGATTTGAGTGGCAACACGTCTTAAGCAATTTTGCCAACAAAGATTTCAGTGTTCCAGATAAACCAATTGATGTGTAGTGATAAGACAAATGGAAGGTGTTGATGGAATGATTAAATATAAATTGGCAGATATAATTCTGCTCCATTTGATGTGATAGAATTTTTAGTTTATTGGGAAAGAATTTTACTAAATCTATTTAAAACAAAACTTTAGAAAGCTGGTTTAAATAAAGACTAGATCTGTCATAATTCCTTAGGTGATTCAGAGGAAAACTTTTAAAGAAGAATTTTTTTTATATGTAGCATTTTATTTCATTTGTGCAATATCTTTAAATTTAGCTGTGCTGCTGATTTTAGACTTTTAATTAAACATTATTTTATTTTGTATATAGTGTTTTTTAAATAGCATCATAATAGAATTTTAAAAAAAGGATTGTTAGTACTTTTATTTATTATTTAAACATGATACAGCAAATTTCTACTATTGAATAAGATTAGTTATCTGCTAATTATTTTTAGTAAAATAGATTTTACTAGGCAATGAAAAAAAATGTTATTAAAATGCTTCTTAAAAATTAAAGAGAATTTGCTTCTTATTTTAATAACATTGCAATGATGAGATGTATGTTACTTTTAATTTGTTATACTTTTTATTTTTCATTTTATTAATACCACTTTATTAATTTACATTCCATTTTTATTAATTTGGATATGTGTCTTTAAATTCTTCATGTTGGTGCCAGTTTTTATTTATAAGTTAGCAAGTATGCATTATATTTTGCTTAAGTTTCTTTTACTTCAAGTTTGAATCTATTGATATCATACTTATATTATATATTCATTTTTGCAGACTTATAGTTGTGTTGTATTATTTACTACATGTTATGAATAAATATTTTATTTTCAGGTTTTGGTGTTGGCTCCTACTCGAGAATTAGCTCAGCAAATTCAGGTGGTTTGCAATGATTTTGGGAGGTTTTCTTATGTGCGTAATAGCTGCATTTTTGGTGGTGCTCCGAAGGGTCCACAATTGAGAGACGTTGAACGTGGTAGATATTTTAGTTACATATTCATTGTTACATATTCATTGGTTTTAAGTAAAACACTCTAATTCCTGTTTTTTAATTCTAGGTGCACAAATTTGTATCGCTACTCCTGGTCGTCTTATAGATTTTCTGGAATGCAATAAAGTTTCACTTAAGCAGTGCACTTATCTAGTTTTAGATGAAGCTGATAGAATGTTGGACATGGGTTTTGAACCTCAAATAAGAAAAATCATAAATCAAATAAGAGTAAGATAAGCTTGGAATTTATTAGTCTTTAAATAGCATTTATAGTACATAGATATAAACTAATCTATTAGTCTTCTAGCAATTTAGTAACTGAGCAAGATTCCCGATTTAGTTCTTAAATAATTATGTTAAGGGGTGACAGTACCCAAAAAATGACCAAAATAGCAATATTTTTTTATTGCTCATAATAAACTTCAAGTTATTTTAAATGCACTGAGGGAGAAAAACTATCTACATTTTTAAAAAGTTATGAACAATTTTAGATTGCCCTAAAACAGAAACTTGATCAACTGATTGACTTTTAAATGCTTTTTCTCATAGATGGTAGTTTTGTGCTTTAATCTTAATTGAATCCCTAAGGAATTTTTTCTATTAAAGCTTTGAAGTAAACTTTTTTATTTTAAGTATAATGCACTTATTTACTCTGTGCCTGGAGTAAGCATTTTGAGATGTTAAAATTTTTACAGCATGTTATATATACCTAACAGGAAATTTTAACTTTTTTCTACTTTTTTACAAAATAATCTATAAAAAATATTCTAATTGATATATCAACAAATGAATACACAAAATTGTTGATGAATATTATAAGCATTAAGAAAAAAAAATTTTAAATGTTAAAATAAAAAAATTGAGATTTTTGTTAAATTTTTAAAAAAAATTTAATAGTTTAACTATTTTTTTGAAGATAAATTATTGATTATAAGTTAAATCAAAGTGTTAAGCATCCACAAAATGAATTATTATACCTTTATTTTTTAAAAAAATTTTGCAATGGTACTGCGATCCCTTGAAATTGTGTTTACACTTAACGCGTAAATTAACACACATCTGTAAATATCCTGATTTTTGGCATGTATCTACAGTGTAGCTCCCTTAAGATTTTTCACAATGATTGTTGGAAAACTGGATAAAAGTTAGTTTTTAAAAAAGAAAAAAATTGTCTTGCTTTGTAAGGCAGGATTTTTAAGCTTCCTGTTGGATGTTTGAGATGTTTTTTTTTTTTTTTTAAGTTTAAGTATTGGAGTCAAATTTTTCAAACCCAGAGTATTATATTAAAACCTTAAATTGTTTCTACAATGAAAAACATAAATTGCAATTAAGCTGGCAGTTATGCTTCTGGGTATTGTGCTGCAAGTTACGGTGCCTTCCCCCAAATAAGTATACAGAGTTCTCTCTAAGAATTATCCCCCCAGAGTTCTCTGCAAAAGAAAAAAATTCTATTTATACAGGCTTATGATTGACCCTAAACTTTGAAAAATCATTCCAAATCTAAGAGAAGGAACCGTTAGGAGATACTATGTTTCTCATCTTTTCTTTTTGTGCTGAACCTACCATCATTGACACATCAACTGTTTTGTCAGGTTTGCCACTCCACAGAGAAAACACAAAGAATTTTTATTTTTTCCTTACAAAGTGGGAAAATACAGGGAATTTTATATCTTATGATCGTTTTGTAAGAAGTGGTAACCTCTCAAAGTGCATTCTATGGGATATTTAAGAACGATATTTCTGCTATACTAAACGATTTAATTTACTATAGCATTATTTGTTTTAAGTAGGTTAGGCTGTTCCTTATTTCTTTTAAGTTTTTTCAGCAATTAAACATAGCATAGTTAGCATAATGTAACTCTGACAAGAGCACAGTGATTGTGTGTTTCCTCGTAATATATTTTGTGTAATACGCACAGGGAAAACACATGGAATTTTTTTTGAAAGATTTATGCGGCAACCCTGTTTGCACTGTAGAAAAGCAAGAACTGAATCAACTATGTTATCATTTTTAGCTGGAAAATTTTTTCCGGTCTTTTACCGGAACTCCAATTAAAATTTTGCAAATGTTATGACTAACGTGCTAGAAGCAAGAAATATTTGTTTGGAAACTTTTTATCAACTTATTTGATTTATGTAGGGTTGTGAACAGGGGACCACTCAACAGAGATTCAAATCTTAATTACGGCAACAACTGTTTCATCTGTTATTTTTGTAGTTTAGTTATTTTATTAGGAAATGAGTTTTTTTTTAACTTATCAGTCAGCATAGTTTATTAGTGAAAAAGAAATTGTATAGAAAATTGAATGACTTAAGAAATTTTAAATGATTAACTTAGTTCTTGGTTACAGTATAAAAATTCTGTGAGAAATAAATTTAGCTCGCACTTCACATAATGTTTAAAATATTGGAATTAAACATAGGAAAGAAAAATGTCCCCTGCATAGAAATCTGGGAAAAGAAACAATCTGGCAGATAAATTTTTCCACTTCATCCATCTGTTATTATGCTCATTTATGACATTGATATTTAAAAACAAGAAGTTATGTTTATGAGGAATCCAAGCTTTTAAATCCAGTTGTGCACCCAGAAGAGGTTCCAATGTAATTTGATTCTCATCCTTTGTTGGTCATTTAAGGTGACAAGGGACTTCCAAATAAGCAAACATTTGCCCACAAAAATATTCTATTTTTTTATATATATTTTTGAAATCTAGGCATTTAACTGAACATTTTTTAAAAATTAAATTCTTGAATCAGAGCAAAATTAACGAAATTATGGCCATTTCTGATTTGACCACGCAATGAAAGTAATTTTTCCCAGTGTCTTTCAGAAGGCGATGTCAGTGTCTTCTCAATGACAAATTTCAAACTGTTCCAGCAAAATTAATTTTCATTCTATTAACCTGAGAATTTGATGCTATATTTATGAATATTATTAACATGTTGTTGGAAGAGTTTTTTGAATTAAGTAAATAGTATTGTTGTTGTCATGTCTATGCATACAATGCTAGTCCAAAGATTAGAGTCCTCCAAAAGTCTTGATAACAAGATTATTATTTATATACATGATATTTTATAGCGGTATGATGATTTTTTCCTAAAAATGCTGCTTTGTTGCTTGTTTACTTTTTGTTACAATAATTAAAAGTAAAAAAAGTTTCCAAAATTTTTTTTTGTTACCTAGTATGTAATATTTTAAAAGAATTGTCGTTTCAACAAAATTTTGGACTCAAGGCATAATATTAAAAAAATATATATATATATAAATTTGAAATTTTAATTTCTTAAATTTTAAAATAATTTTTCAAAATTTTTTATATAAGTTTTTTTAACAATATAAATGTATACTGAGAATTTCAAACAAATCCCTTGATAATTTCTTTAAAAAAAAATTGAAAGTCCTTTGTTGACTTAAGCGGAATCACTGAAGGTATATCTGTTATAATAATTTGCGAACTTTTATTTTCTTCAGTATGTTAGAGTTTCCGAATTAAAAACTTTTCAATCCATATTATTAGAAAAAATATTATGTGTATATAAGAGTACCCTTACAGAAAATTTTACTGTCTTTGAATGATTTGAATTGACTGTTTATTATACCTTTCCAGCCTGATAGACAAACTGTAATGTTCAGCGCTACATGGCCAAAAGAAGTTCAGAAGCTGGCTGAAGATTTTTTGATTGATTACATTCAAATAAATGTTGGTGCACTTGAATTATCTGCTAATCACAATATCATGCAAATTGTGGATGTCATGGATGAAACAGAAAAAGATGACAGGTAATTTTTGAAGTATCTTAAAACAGAATTCAAATTAATGCAATTATTTTTTTTTTTAAAAATTACATATGTTTCTATTATTTCAGGCTTACTAATCTCCTTCAAGAAATAATGAATGAAAAGGAAAACAAGGTGTGTTGAAATTTAAAAAAAATAGTTTTTATTCTGATATTCTTTTCATTATACATATTTTATTAATTCTCACAATCATTATTAAAAATAAATGAAATTGATATTTTTTTTTCAGACTATAATTTTTGCTGAAACAAAACGTCGTGTAGACGAGCTGACACGTTATATGAGGAAACAAGGGTAACTTTTCTACTTAATTGATTCACTTTTTCTACTGAAACATTTTGTCCGAAAAAATCTTACTTTAAATCTTGCTTGCAGATATTCCGCATTGTGTATCCATGGTAATAAGTCCCAACCGGAACGAGATTGGGTTTTAAGTGGTAAGTGCATTTTGAATTTGTTTTAGTCACATTCGTAGCCTTTTAAGGAACTAAATTTTGTTTTATAAATTTTTTGGTATAGTAAAAAGGTTTATGGTTATATTTTAAAAATTAAATCATTGAAATGTCTGCGTTATTTTTATATATTGGGTAGTAGTTTGCGTGAAATATTTTATACAATGAGTCTTATCTTGACTGTTATGGGAACGGTAAATAATGAAATTTGGACAGTACTTTTTAATTTTTAATGAGATTAAGGCTTTATTCAGGGTGCGTACAGACTGCTTATACTGCTTAGAAACTCCTTGGAAATAAAAAAAAAGTCTCCAAGGAGTACTTGGAACTACTTAGATTTCTATATTAGTCCATAGAATTGCATAGATGAACTTACTAGGTGTCAAAATCTAATAGTTTATCAGGGTGGCCACCCACCTTTAAAACCTGGAATTATCGGGGAATTTTTTTTAAACTGGAAAAAACCTGCAAATATCAGGGAAATTTGGATATAAACCTGGAAAAATCAGGGAATTATAAAGAAAAGCTGGAAATTTTTTCTTTGATCATTTTTTTAATTTCACCAATTTAAATTATTTACTAATTTTCTTAATTTAAATTATTTCATCCATTATACCCACCTTTTTTTAAACGGAAATGTATCGCCAAACAGTTGAAATACAGTGAATTCGCGATAACTCGAATCTGATAGGACTGACAAAGAACTTCGACATATTGGAAGTTCGACTTACCGTTAGTTTCGGTCTTTCAAAATATTGTCGGATTATTTAATTAATGCTTATTAATTACAAATCTTCTAAATGCTTACAGTATTTAAGATCATTTTTTGACAAACCATTTACGATAAGACTGTTTCAAGCACTTTATGATATCCTGGTCCATCGGTTGCAACTTTGCTGTTGTGTTTGGCGGGAGAAACTGCAGGTTTGCTGCTTTTAAATTAGGTAGATCACTATGCGCTATGCATTTATCCATAAAAAGTATCACTTTTCTTTTTTTAGCGAAGAATTTACGATCCAATTTTCTTACATTGTCTTCAAATAAAAATGATGTCATCCAAAACTTTTTGCTGGACTTGTAATACAAAGGATACGTTTTTACATTCTTGAAACATCGGGGATTTCGGTATTTTCCGATAACAAGTAAGGGCAATTTCTCCGTCCCAGGCGCATTTCCTTCAACTAGGACAGTCTAACGTTCCTTGCTCATTTTATCCCCTGAGCATTTTTCATCCTTAAACATCATAGTCTTATTTGGAAGACATTTAAAAAATAAACCCATATCATCAATATTGAAAACATCATTTTAACTGTATCCATGAAGTAAATTTGGTAATGTTTCATTTAACCACTGCTCACATACTTCAAGAGGGACAACTTTAACTCCTCCATGAAGAGTGCGAAAGACATTGCGTGTGTTGCAAAGGAAGGGGCAAGATATCAGCTCCTAGGGTTTTTTTCTTGCTTTAAAAGATCCAAAAAAAAAATCGAGTTAAAGGGAGTACAGTTCGAGTAATCAAGAATAATTAACATGAAATTGAAGATAAAAGGGTCGGAACCCCTTAAAAAAATTGAGTTATAGTAATATTCGAGTTATCGTACTTCGAGTTATAGCGAATTGCCTGTATCATCAACTTAGCGATACTTTGCTTGCATCAAAATTTGCTCCATTACAGCTCTGTTAAACTAGAATGCCACATAAAATTCTGCCACGGTTGCTAAACGAATGTAGAAACCTTTGTCCGCTATGGGACTGTGCAATTTAGGAAAGATTCTGGTGGAGGTAGAAAAAGGGATTAGGAAATTTGCTTCTGTTTTTAAATTCTGTCCTTTATGGCTCAAGTTTGTTCCGATTCTTTGGTGGTAATTTTTTTTTCTATTTTGACAAAATGTTTTTGTATTTTTAACTTGAAAAATGAAATTCTCCAAAAATTAGTTGGTTATAATTTAATAATAATAGACTTTATATATTGCACCCTTTTTCTGAAAGCTTTTCTACTTCCATACAAAGAAATCTATGAATTATTTTTTTCTCAGCAAACCAACCAATCACATTTTTTTACAATCGCTAACTGCAATGTTTGTCAACAAATCTTTACAATTGTTGCATTAATGATTTTTGATTCAAAATTTTGTAGGAAAACATTAAAAATTAAATAAAAAATCTTGCCAAATTGTCAAAATAAGTTATTTTTTTCAAGAGGATATGTTAAAAAAATAATATTTTGAATAAAATATTTTATAATACCGACACTTTTCTTGTACACATCCTACACTTAGCAAGAAAAAAGAAACAAAAACCTGGAAATTTTAAGATTTTTATCTGGAAAAATCAGGGAAATTTGAAATCTGATTTGAGTGGCCACCCTCTTTAAGAAAGCTTTTAAGAAGAAAAAAAATTTAATTGCAAGAGTTAGAAGAAAAAAATAGCAGCAGATAATTTTAATTTTACATGTTACAAGCAAACTTAATTAATAATTTACTGTGATTTTTTTAAAATATGAAATGCCTTGGATTTTCTTACGTATTCAAATTGAAAAAAGTAAGATTGGTAGGTTTTTATGTTAATCTTTAACATCTGTACTTAAACAAGATTTATTAAAATATTTGAAACTGGAAAATGTCTTTATGTGTAAAAGTGATAACTTTATTTTTCTTGGTGAAAGGGCTAGAAAAAATATACAATTTATACATTTTTGTGAGTTTCTTATAACAGCTTTTAAATTAAAAAAAAAACTGTCTAGCTATCTTTCACACAAGGTTTTTTAATTTTTGATAAGTCCTTAAAATTTTGGACTCCTTGGATACTCCTTGGATTTCTTCTGCTGATCTCTGTATGAACCCTGACTTTATTTCCCATGGAATGGAGATTAAACTTGGTTGGCAGCTTATATTAAAAAAAAAAAAAAAATTCTTCCCTTTTCTTTCTTTCCCATTCATTTGGCTACATGTTAAACTATTAAAGGTGTTATATTTAACGTCTGTTTTAAATAAAAGGTTATAATAAGTTATCCCAAGAATGTTTTTATGCATGTATCAAATTTCTTTTTAGAGTTCAGAAATGGGAAGTCGCCTATTCTGGTAGCCACAGATGTAGCTGCTCGTGGTTTAGGTAAGTTTAGTCATCTTTTTTTTTATTAATTGTTTCTATATTAATACATTCTACATTGTTTAAAATTTGTAAATGAAATAATGTCATCTATAGCTTTTATTCTTAACAATTTTTTAGTGTTGGGTCAGAAATTCATTTTAAAATTCTGTAAATTTTTTTTTTTTTGTTACAACTTTTGAAGTAAAAATTAAAAACAATATCTGTTTGAAATATGTATATATGTTCAAAATCTGTTTAGAGAATTTTTTTTTAAAAAAAATGACTATTTTATTTGAATTTTGATTAGATTCTATGCTAGTTTAGATTTAAGAAAGTGTTGAAAAGTTTATTTTTGGGTAGATGTATGAATGACAATTTTTAAAAGAAAGAGAAATGCAGTCAAATATCGCCATAGTGGACAGTCTGCAGATCCAGTAATATCGCTATAAATGTATAAATTACTATATCCAAATTTAAAAAAGAAACGAAATTTTAAGTACTGTCCTTCAATTTTCTTTATTACAATATACAGAGAATTCAGGATGTTTACTTAGGATGTAGATACTGAAATTTTCCCTAGCTTTGTTCTTTAGTTTAATTTCGCTGACAATTTCATATAGATAAGGGTATCAGAAGTACACACTTTGTCATCGCAACATTGAAATTGTTTTATAACATACCCAGGAAAAATTTCTATTCCAGGGTTCAATTTAACAATCACCTAAAATAACGGAAAGTGAAGGGAAGTTTAAATTTTTCCTAACAAATTGGAAATTTTATTTCTTATTTTTGTCTTTAAAAAAATACAGACCTCTCAAAGTGCAATATATGGGATATTTAAAGATGACTGCTCAGTTATATTATTTCATTTATGACAGCATTATTTGTTTTATGTTGAGCTGTTTCTTATTTCTCCAGCAACTAAAAATATCATCTTTATCCTGGTATAATTCACAAGAGCGCAGTGAGTGTGTTTCGTCTTAATATATTTTGTTTAATATGTGCGGGAAAAACCGGGAATGTTATAGGTATATCATCTCCACATTGGTCTTTTTTCTTCACCTTAATCTTTCAAAACACCATGGCAGAAACAGTTGCTGATTGCCTACGTGATTTTTCTAACGAAATGATTCCTTCTGAAAGAGATGTATTCTGTATCCGTGTTTTCTAAATCACACACCGCTAGTTGTCTCATATTCAGGCTGCGAATAACGCCCTGGTCTGTGGGCTGCTCACAGCTCTACTGGTTTTTCCAGTTGACTACTGGATTTTGCCAGATTTTCCTGGTCTACTGGTTTCATGAAAATTCTCCTGGTTTTTGCATATTTTAGAAAATTCTCTAAAATTGGGTAAGTTTATTTTTAAAAAAAATCACTGTTAAAATAGATATCTGCGTATATTATTACTTGCTCCAATATTTATACGAGTGTTACTAATACAAAATAAAGAGAGCCTCGTTTATAAATATTAGTTTGAAACTTTTTTTTTGTTCTAAAATGTATTTCATTCAGAACTTGTTTTTAAATTAAATAATTTTTTAGCTATCTTTGAGGAATTAAATGCCTATTATTATTCAAAACTATGAGTAAGCATAATACGAGACATTTCAAGTTTAATGTTAATCATAACTGGAAACTATTGCAGTTTTTCTATTTTGATGACTATAAGAATCCTTATGTGTAAAATATTTAGTACATTTTGCGACAATTGTCAGGAAATTTATATTTTATAAAGTCTACTGGATTTTTTCCTATCCATCTTGGCAGTTATGACTGCTACACAGCAGTCATTTGGAAGTAGATCTTAATACCTTTTAGTCTTTCTTAATGGGGGTGGGCTGTATTTTCACCTGTGAGTTAAATGAGGACTGGAAGAAAAATTGCTGAAAGGAAATTAAAGCTTACTTTATTATCACTTTAGTCATTTAAAATAAGATCTTAATGAGAAAGAGGTTTGCTATATCCCAGGGGTTCAACTGTATCCCATTTGAGGCATCTAAGGCTCATTTTTCATATACTTCTAAAGTAGACTGTCTTCATTTTGTTTGTGACTGATTTGTTTTTCACTTTTTGTAGAATTAAGTTTCTCTTATCATGCATTCATTAATTTGCAATGTTGATAAAAGTGCTTCTCATTAAAATTTTCACATTTTTAAAGTATTGTCTATAATAAGTCCCTTTTTCATTCTTTCAATTAAAGTTCAATTTTTTTAAATTTTGAATTCTGATAAAGAGCACGTAGTTTTGAGAGTAAAATTAAAATTCCAAGTTTTCAATGTTAATTGAGTTGGGTAATGTTTTTAATTAATTTCATTATTTTAAGGTATATAAATGATAATTATTTTTCCTATTGTTTAACATCTTTGAGTTTTCAATTTCTCCTAATTATATTTGTATATTTTTGGTTGGTAAGAAGAGTGATTCAAAAATATAAGAGTTTGCATGCTGAGTCAAAGGCTAGGATTTTCTTTGAAGATAATTTAAGGCCTGGTTTGCATTAAATTTCTTAAACAAATTTTTCCTTTGAATTTAGTCGTAGTTATAAACAATTTATAAAAATACTTTTCGCCATCTTTATTTTACTGTTATAGCTATTATGTATTATCATAATTATTTGTTTTGGGCTTTGTGAAATGTTCTCATATTTTTGAATCCTCTTTTATTTACTAATTTTATTTTTAACAAATATTAACTGATTTATTATAATTCATTTAATTGATATTTTTCTTTTTTTTCTTTTTAGAGGCACATGGATAATATTAGTGCCTCTGATCTTGCTCTGGTTATAAAAATATAGTTGGAGATCGATTTATGCAGGTCTTGTCGATATTGTGTGTGTCATTCAAAACCAAGGCTGTTTTTAAGATTTAATGCTGTCTTCAAATTATATTTTTTGATTGACAAATTGAGTTATTTCAGTGTTAGTAATATATTTCACTAAAGTGCTGTATTCTAACTGAGCTATCTATTCCCAATGTTTTAAATTAATGAGTTTTGTTTTAGTATATTACTCAGACTTGATTAAGATATAGCAGTTATTTATAAGGAAGTCTTGTTTGAAGTTTTATTGAAACTTCATTTGCTCTTTTAGTTTTCTGCTGCTTTTTTTTTAAAATTTAATTTAATTTTTGTATTATTTATATTTTGGGAGATATTCAAGAAACTCAGAATAAGTGATCTGATAGGTTTTTTTAATGAATGATTCATCATTGCTTATCATTTACTTATTTTGGAAATATTTTCTCCAGTAACAGGGTATCTGCACACTTGGAGGAAAGTCATGGATTTCAATCACTAAAAAATATAATTTTTAAAATGGAATTACCCCCCTCCCCNAATTCCCCCCCCCCCCCTCCAAGTTTCATGGTGCTCCGAATATCTGAATTTGTAACAGAATCCCCACTCTCACATTAGTCATATTATAAAATGTTTTCATCATGTTCTATAAAGATATGGTGTCTCTTTCAAAAAATGAAAGAGCGTCATTACTAGATCAAATTATCTTGTAAACTTCTGTGATTTCAGAATTTTTGGTAATATTCATTTCTTTTATTTTATTGATTTCAAATTGGCAAATTTTTTTTTAATTCTGAGATGAAAACAGAAAAATCAGGAATATTTCTTTTCTTTCTGATGAACAAGAAAAATATCTTTAGAATATACTTCTGTCAGAAAAAAAAAAGAAAAATCAGGAATATTTCTTTCCTTCCTGATGAACAAGAAAAGTATCTTTAGAATATAATTCTGATGGAAAAATAAAAAAATGTTTGCTTTTGTATTTTTTCCAACAATTTTATTGCTTCAACTCTTTCTTTACTTTGTTTTTTAAATTTAAAATCTATAAATATGAGGATGCAGAGTATAACAGTTTGAGTTATATCTATCATTTCAATTAATGTTATTATAATGCTTTTTTAAATGTATTGTTGTGTTTTTGTCAGAGTAAATCGTAACTTCGTTAAGCCATGAAAAATTCTTGGAATTAGTCATGGAAAATCGTGAATTTGAAAATCTAAAATGTAGCAGATACCCTGCAGTTATTCATCTTTGAAAGAAATTTTATTTCTGAAATAAATATTTTTTAAGGAATTTATGACATTTCTTTTGTTTGAATTAAAATTAATTTCAAACTGTTCTAATTGAAACTTGGTTTTGTAATGTACACACACTGTTGGTAATAACACTGAGTTGGGCCAGTCCAGTATTCCCTAGTGAAGAGGCAAGGAACAACTATAACTGCATGCAGAGGATGATATCTCCTCTGTGTGTGTTGCCAGACAATTTATTAGTTTCTTGCCTGTTATCTAGAGGATATATGAGCGTAAACAAGGACTCAGTGGATCTAAAGAAAGGTTTGAAGTATATTTCCTGCTTTTCTCCTTTCAGAGAGAAATTGTGCTGAACGATGGTAGTTTTGTCCTTTTTTTAAACTAATAAATATAACTACCTGAGTTGTTTCAATTATTTATATCACTACTTAAATGGAAAAGAATAGAAAGCTTAATAGAAATAATTTATGAATAACATGTGTCTATATCATAAGTCCTATTGTATACCAAGAAGATTTTTCCCCCTCTGGAAAGAGTAAAATCGTTCAGCACACATTCCTCTTTCTTTGCTCTTTACTGTTTTCATATACTGATTTTTTTTACTTTCACTTTTCTATTCGAAATTAATTTAATTATAGCAATTATAAATATTCTTGGCATGTGATAATTGTTCTAATTAAACTTCTAAATGATGTAGGCTCTTAAAGAAAAATATTTACTTCCTAAATTTGCTCAATGGAATTAATCTTTTGAAATTAAATAATTGCTGCAAGTTATCAAAAAAGTATGTGAATAAGATTTTTCATGAATAGGATTGAAATGCTCTTGTTCAAACCACTGAAGCTAAAATTTAATTTTGAATCTTCTAATAGATATATTTATTTTCAGATGTGGATGATATCAAGTATGTTATCAATGTTGATTTTCCAAATTCTTCCGAGGATTACATCCATCGTATTGGCCGCACAGCCAGATCTAACAACACTGGAACTGCTTATACATTCTTTACCTTTGGAAACATGAAGCAGGCTAAAGATCTGGTGGATGTTCTGATTGAAGCCAACCAAGAAGTGAATCCCAAATTAAGAGATTTAGTCGAAATGTCCAAATCATTTGGTGGCAGGGGTAAGCAATTCTGCCTTTATAACTTTGTTTTAGCAAATGTTCTCCAATTTACTTTGAAGAGAAATAAGATGCTCATTTTCATCATAATTGGCCAGACAGTTCAATGTGGGCCAAGGCCTTCGTCTAAAGATTTCTTCATAACTATTTCCAATTTATCTTTGATCTTCAATTCTTTTCGTTAATTACAAGAATGTCAGACTCCTCCGAATCAGTCCATTTCAACCGTGTCCTTAACCGCTTTCTTGTTCCAATAGGTCTTTAAAAAATATATATATATTTTGAGTGTATCGTCATCCAATACATTCTACTTATTTTTATGCGTTTAGTAATGTCGGGTAGTTTATGAATCTTGTACAGTTCAAAGTAATATCTCCTGCAGTTATTATTTTCATTTGCACGAACACTAGATGAAAATTTTATCGCAATGTCTGATTTTGTGGAGTATACTTGGTCGTGTCATGAGGTAAGCTATTAAAATGAATTGAAATTTGACTTTAAAAATGTGTAAAATTCTTATTTGGGCTAAAAAAAATTTAAAATTTCCCGAAAAAATTTTCTTAGTGAACTTCTTGTAATGGGTTATTAATTATTTCAAGAGAAATTGAAGATTCAACGCACACAAGGTTAAAGAAAACTTGAGATCATTGAATAATTATGAATTTTCAGCTAAAAGCTAAAAAAAATCTTGCAGCAAACATAAAAATTTACCACTTCAATATGGATGGCATTAGCGTTTCAAACTTTTTATCAAAGATAACTGCACTGGTAGTTGAGTAATATAATGCCTAGAGTTCTAACTAAAGTTGGTTTCGACAATAGCTAATTTGAACTTACACGAATAGTGTTTTAGTTAAGAGTAAATTACGGATGCGCTTTCAGAGAATTAATTAGCAAACTCTTTTTCCCATTATTTAAGTTTTTATAAACTTGATGAATAGATTGTTTGTATAATTGTGCATACAAAATTTTGATTACTTCCTCAAAATTTCTTGATCTCAAAACCAAATTGGTTCTTTTTGATGTCAATGTTAGATTCACTCATTTCCCAGTCATGGTTGACAACAGGGTCAGGCAAGACAACACCAGTGGTGTTTGTTGGTTTATAGTTCTAATAATAAAAAAAAAGTTGTTCATTGTGGGTTCTGCAATTCTTATTTTTTTCTTCGTTATACCAGGTTCAAATACACCATTCGTTACACCAAAATCAAAGAATCTTCATAATGAATAGTGAGAAACCAGTGTATAAATGTCACATTTAAAAAACCTTCATTACCCTTAATTTCAGAATATATTTAGTATTTTTTATTTATTATAATAATTTGTCTACTTAAAAAAATAGCAGCTGACATGAAGACCGTCACTTTAAATTCATGCAAATTTTAAGACAAAGTTCTTAAACCAGATTAAATAAATCTCTTGCGGGTGGCTGAGTCAGCCAATCTTCTTATCTAACTTATCATCTAATTATTTATCACCTTTGAAATATGCTACTTTTTGTTTACATTGTAACAGGCTGCCTTAAACTTCGTGCGACAGGAAAACTACACTCCTCATTTTACTTTTATTAATAAATGTGTGTCGTTTTTCATTTTCTGGTGTAATTTTTGCCACTCTTCATTTGATTCTTCAGATTTGCTTTTATTGACCGTAAATTATGGCTCATACATCACGATTATTTTTCTTATGATTCATATTCACAGAGGTGATGGTTTTATATCTGCCATTTCTCCTGTTTTCTAACAAAGACTGCTACCCATGTATTTTCAAATTTCTCCATATTTGTTGAAGACATTTTTTTTAAGAAAAGGAAAATTTTTGGCAATAAGATGTCCGCTAGTGGCAGTTCTCTTATTCCTCAACAATGGTGCTGTCCCCAATACTGCGGTTAAGTGGTGGCTCAGGGGGCAGAGTGCTCGTCTTTCAATGAAGTGAACCGGGTTTGAATCCCAGCGACGACTAATCGATACAAATTCCGCAATGACCACAGTGCTGACATAACATATTCTTAATGGTAGACAGATTATGGGTTAGTCCCCTTGTCAGGTTAAACATGATAGGTCTTCGTGGTTTTCCTCTTCATATAACGCAAATGTGGGTTATTACCATCAAAAAGTCTTCCCCATGGGCAAATTTCTTCCAATACTTGATCCAAACGTTCCCTTGTCTTCTGGATTGGACTAAAAATGACAAGGCTACGGAGTTGAACATTAGTCGTAAACTCTGAATTAGGTTGGCAATTCAACGGAGGTTATAAAATAGTTTAAGTAATTATAAATAATTGTTTAAAAAAATCTTCTTTGAATTAAGATTTATATACAAATGTTTTGTTTAACTAAATCTTGGTGTTGGTTTCCAATTTTGAATTTCTCTTTTTGACTTATATGATTATGCATAATGTATCAAAACTTTAAAAAAATGACACTAGTAAAATCTCCGTTGTTTTATTTCTCCTATGTTGGCTGGTATGTGATTTGTTACTTGATGCCTTTTTCAAATCTAATTATTTGCTGTCTCCATTTATATTGATTTCCTTTACATAGCAATTTAATATTGATTTGCTGCAATCCCAAGTCTCGCTTCGCACCTTATTTTTTCGATTTCTAAATAATGCTTCGTGATTTGTATTCACATAATTTAAAAATCCCACGTCGTGATTTATATTGTATACATCTCAAATTGTGTTCATGTGATTTAAAAATCTCGCGTAGCAATCAATGTTCACACGATTTAAAATATAGATGTGTGTATAGTTTAATTAATTTATTTTGCAAGTTATTAGAGCAGAATAATCCATTAAAATGCTTTTTATTTTTCAAACTTCAGACATTTTTTTTTAGGGAAAGATATTGACGATATTTTTTTTATTTTAAGGAGGTCGTAGATGGGGTGGAAGAAGTTTTGCCACTCGGTATGACAACAACAGTAGAGGTGGCAGTTATGGAAATAAATATGGGAACAACAACAACCGTGGAGAAAATTCTGGATACAGAGGTAATGACAGTTTAGCTAATGACTACAGTTCAAATTATAAACAAGATGTGACTTCTGAATCAACCTCTAGAATGAAGCGCACACAGATTAAATCTGATGAAGACTGGCTTAGAAGCTTCAGTGATTATAAAAAATCTCCAAGCAAGCCACAGAACAACATTCCATCATACACAATACATTAATAACATTTCTGTTAAGATTTCATGGATGATTTTTTTTTTTTTTTATCATTGCATGTATTGATTTTCAGTATTCTGAATTCAGTTATAATGATAATGCAATGTTTGTTTAGCCTATTTATTATAAAGATTGTAATTTAAGTCAATGGGCACTTTAAGTCTAAGCTTAAGAATCTCCAATTTCCTTTCATCTATAAATATATATTAACCGAAATTTCTGTAGCTTGTTATAGCCTTGGGTATTGATATCTGTATATTTTTTCCATTTTAGTAAATTTGCCTTTAAGTAACAGTATTGTTTTCTTGCAAAAGGCCACAGTGTGTAACTTTCTTGATTTTGTGAGATAACTTGCAGGGTGCGTAGCGTTTTCTTTTTTTTTCTTTCTTTCCCATTTTGATTTTTTGAAAAGTGCTTAATTTTCTCTTTTCCAAAATTTGATTTTCTTCTTTTCCTTGTTGATTTTCGCCACAATTTATGCAGAAAGGCATTGTTTACATTGTAGGGACAGTTTCAAATTTCAGTCTTATTTTTAAATAAATAAATAAAATAAAAAACTGAAAAGTGAACTTCAAGTACAGGGTTCAAAGCTATTTTTTTAAATTTTCTTTTTACTTTCTTTGGTGAAAAGAAGAGTTGGAAGTAAATAGAAACTGTTTCTACGTATAAAGAATAAGATGATTGTGAAGTGTTTTTTTTTATTTTTTTTTTATTATTATTATTATAAGATATTTTTATTTTCAATATTTAAACAAATTTAGGCATTGGATAAATTGCAATTTGGCTCAATTTTATTTAATATTTTATGCACCAAAATTTGGATGGTTTTAACAGTAATTTTCAAATCAAAAAAGTTATGTTGAAATAATTCTTATAATTTTACATATGTTAATTTAAAATTACTTCATATTTCTAATAGCCAGTAGTTATCCTTAGGCCAAAATTTAGAAAGTGCTTAAATATATATTTTTAGTGCTTAAAAGGTGCTTAGTTTTTGTTGAAAAATTTAGCTACGCACCCTAACTTGTTACATTCCTGGAATGGACAAATATTTTTTTTTATTGAATATCATCTTTGTACATTACTTATCCCTAACTGATTTGTTTATTTATTTATGTATTTTTTATCTTGACAGGGAAGTCCATGCATAAGATCTTCGTGTGAAAATCTTCCTGTCAATAGAGAGCATTTATTGTCATACAGATGTGAAAACTGTGTGTTTGTATAAAAGAGTTGTAGTCAAAATTTGCATCTGTGTGTTATTTATTTTCATAAAAAAATCACTTGAGTTTTCTTATAGTTTCTTCATTTCTTTAAACAAAATCACTGCTGTCACACAGATTTATTATTTGAAAAAGGAAAAAAAATTTGCGGGATTATTGCTTTAAATCTTACGAACCTGGTATATTTATACTAACACTCAGTTTGTGTATGTTTCTAAATATAACTATTTATTTGTTTTTGCGTCCAAGGTTTGGAAAAAGCACTGTGATTTTCCCATAAATATGTAACCTTCATTGTGTTTTTGTTTCATATATTCGGCTTTGTTTTGGTTTTTAAGAAAAAGTAATAAATCTAAAAACATTTATATTATCAGCTTCAATATCAATTATTTAACTTGCAACTAGTTAATTCTAAGTGTTTTTGGTTTAATTAAATTTCAGTGTGATACTAAAAACTGTCAAAAGTAGTCTTCACTGTCTCTTATAATTAAATTACTATTTCTATTTAAAACAGGTAAAATGTCTTTCATATTGCGCAATTCAAATCTAAAATTTTAAAAATATGTTACGGTGTTTTAAGTAATAAAAGTAAACAATATAAAATGTGAAGATAGTACTCATCGATGACATGATAAAGGTACACATCCTTTTTGAGTGAAGGGCCACTTGCACAGCAGGTTGGCTAACAAAAGGCCGCACATGTATTGAGACACGTTAACGGCAAATGTAAGAATATTTGTTTAAACATTAGTGTTCTTTTTTTTATCAATAAGCTTAGTAATATATTTGTAGAAAATTAAAGGCATTCAATTATTAGAATTCATTTGAAAATAAAATAAAAAATCTGCAATGCTCACAGAATGGAAGTAGAAAAAATTTAGTACATAATATGAATTTAAAATAAATATTTTAATTTAAGAAAATTTATTAAGTTTTAAACAAAAACCTGAAATGAAAACAAAACTGTTATAGTTCAAAATAAAATGCAATGCTATAGTATATTACATTTTATTGATTATTAGATTTTTTTATACAGTAAACGTGATCTTTTTTTATTGAAACAGATCACTTAAGCAATAAAAATTTAAATCAAAGGTACAAACAATGAGCAGAAGTTTTTTTTACTATTTATTATCAAGTTTTCCCTGTACTGTAATCAGGGTGCGTGCAGACTCCTTAGAAATAAAAGTCTCCAAGGAGTACTTGGAACTACTTAGATTTCTAAATTAGTCCTTAGAAACTCCTTAGATTATTGTGTTGCATAGATGAACTTGCTAAGTATGCTGATGAATTTGCTATCCAAACAGGGAAACTAAATGATATGACTTAACTGTCAAAATGTAATAGTTTAAGAAAAACTTAAAAAGACAAATTGCATTTCAAGAATTAGAAGAAAAAAATAACAGCAAATAATTTTAATTTTACATGTTACAAGCAAATTTAATTAATAATTTAGTGTGATTTTTTTTAATTTTATAAATAGCCTTATATTTTCTTATGTATTTAAATTTAGAAATATAAGATTAGTAGATTTTTATGTTAATCTTTAACATCAGTTCTTAACAAGATTTATTAAAATATTTGAAACTGGAAAATGAATCTATATTATATAAAATGCTAATACGTATGTATCAATAAAACCGATGATCTTTCTTTTCTCGCTTTGGCAAAAATTTTTCATTTTTAATTTATTGGATTCAGCGCGCAAGAGCACGTAGTGAGCATCATATGGCTAATCTATGTTATATAAAACGCTAATTCGTTTTAATTTATAGGCTTCGGCGCGCAGGAGCACGTAGTGAGTATCAAATGTCTAATCGGGTGAATTCTCACCGAATTATCAAAAACATTCTCACAAAATTATCTTCATCGAAGCCGATGCTTTACATCCGGCGATCAGTACTATTTCATATTGTTTTACAACACATGGTTTTAGCCCTCTGGTGGGAAAGACTTTAAAACAAAACTTACAACAGTTACTTTTCTCAACAACTGAAATTTAGAATAGTGTGATTAAGAAAAATATGTGAACTGTTTGCAATTTCAAATTAATATTGAAATG